TAATCTGTCTGGCTGCCTTTATGGCTGTTTGATCTGCCAATGAGTTTCCTTTTGTGATGAGGGTCCTGTCCCTTTTGGTTTCCCCAACAGTGCATGATGGCCACTTTCTTGGGTTCCCAGATTGCCTTCTAGGAGCTATAGTATTTCCTTTTTATTTTTAATTTCTTTCCCCCCTGCTGTCATGAGTCCTCTCTCCTTATATATTGCTCCATGCACATGAATGGTAGCAAAGGCAAACTTCAAATCAGTGTAAATGTTGACAGTCTTTCCACAGGCCCACTGGAGGACTCAAATGAGGGCCCAGAGTTCTGCCCTTTGGGTTGATCAGCCTTTAGGGGAGGGTCCTGGACAGTGGTAGTGACAGCATGTCCTGCTAATTGCTCTCCAACCTGTATGAAGCTGCTGTTGTCAGTGAACAAGGCAGCATCCGGTTGAGGCAAAGGCTTCTCAATGAGATCAGTTCTATGGGAAAACAACTCATCAGTAACTTCCTCACAGTAGCCCTTCTCCACAGGTAGAAAGGTATCTGGATTTAAAGTTCTGACAGTATCTAAGGTGGCTCTGTGTTTCTCATACAGTAGCCCCTGGTATTGAGCTATTCTGGTGTTTGATAGAAATTTATGGTGTCATTATTTATCATAGTGACAACAGAATGGAGTGCTCTTACTTGCAGGTTTTGTCCTACTGTTAACTTGTCTGCCTCCTTGATGAGGGTGACAGTTACTGCCACAGCATGGAGGCAGGGTGGCCACCCTGATGCCACAGTATCTAATTGTTTTAGAGAGGTAGGCCACCAATCTGTGCCAGGTCCCCAACTCCCTGAGCCATGTGATCTTTCTCATGAACAAAGAGGTTAAATTTTCCACTCACATCAGGCAGCCCTAGGGTGGGGGTGCTGTCAAGTAGTTGTTTGATTTCCTTAAATGCAAGTTGCTGTTTATCCCCTGCATTCCAAGGGTGTATTTTCTGGTCTGGAGAAGACAGCAGACCTGGTTTGACCTTTCCTGCAAAACCTGGGATCCAAATTCTACAGAACCCAGATGCTCCCAGGAATTCACGGAGTTGTCTTCTGGAGTTTTGTCTGGGAGATTGAACAAATGACTTGTTTTCTTTCCAGTCTGAGAGATCAATGCCCCTCAGCGATGGCAAATCCTAATACAGAAGAGGTCTGGCATATCTGGGCTTTCTTCCAGAATAGTTGTAGTCTGTGTCCATGAGCAGCTGTAGGAGGGCCTGTGTTTCCCTCCAACAGTCTTGTTTAGTCTTGTTTGCCAGTAAGGGGTCATTAACATTGGAGCAGTGTGCAGTTTAGTTTGTCTGCTGAAAAGGCAGTCAGATTGGCAGCTCAGGCCTCCCTGAACAGAGTAGGGGAGTTCTTAAACCCTTGTGGTAGCCATGTCCAGGTAAGTTGTGTTTTTTTGTCCAGTATTGGTTTCTTCTCATTAGAACAGTGGCTGTGGGGAGCCAACCTCAGGCAAAAGAAGGCCTCTTTGAGATCTAGGCAGGTGAGCCAGGTTGCTCTCAGTGGGAGCAGGCTCAGCAGAGTGTAGGGATAGGGTACAGCAGGATGCAGAGTGACTATAGCATTGTTGACAGCTTGCAGGTCCTGAACTGGTCAGTATGTTTCCTCCTGGCTTCTTAACAGGTAACAGGAGTGTGTTCCAGGGGGACTGACACTCTCTGAGAATCCCTGACTCCTGTAGCAGATTGATGTTTTCTTGGATCCCAACTCATGCCTCCCTGTGGATGGCATACTGTTTTATTCTAACAGGGGTTGCCCCTGGCTTGAGATCTACTATCATTGGGGCCTGGTTTTTGCCAATCTTGGTGGGATTCTTCAATCCAGACTTTAGGAAGTAGCTTAAATAGGTTGGGAGAGGGGTTGGTCTCTTTCAGATGTGGGACATGCAGTCTCCATTCTTCCTCACGAGGAATGGTTATGGACAGGACTAGGTGTTCAGGACTGTTGAGAGTGAGACTGGCACACCCATGACCCCAGCCATGTGAAGGTGATCTGGCTCCAAGTTTGATTGGCAGGTCTCTCCTCAGGAGGAATATGGGCCAGTCAGGCAGGTAGAGGAACTCATGGATCACTTCATGTCCTCCCAGGTGACACAAGCATGCCTGAAAGGAATGATGGGCTGTCTGAGATCCAGCAGCCCCCACAATGTTGACCTTTTTGTTTGTGAAGGTGACTAGCAGGGGAGATCACTACTGAATGGTCGGCACCCATGTCAAACATGAAAGCCATTGGTTGGCCCCCTACTGTCCCACACAGCATAGACTCCCAGAGGCCAAGATTGAGGAAGCCCAGTCTGTCTAGTCTGAGTCCATTTTGCAAGCCAGATCAGCTTAGGTGTGCCAGGTTTGGGATGGTACTATCTTGGAAATCCAGTTGAGATCTCTGAGCCAGGGGACATTCATTTTTCCAGTGTCCAATCTTTTTGTAGCAGGTGCACTGGTCCAGATGTATGTCCTTCTGACATGGGCTTCCCCCTTGGCATTGGCCTGGGAGGGAGTTAGTTCTTGCCCCACATGAATTTCTCTCCCATATCAGTAGTTTGGGTTTCTGTGTAATTGGGTCTGGCTAAGTGCTGCCATGAGGAAGGAGATTTTTTGTTTCATTTTCTTTTCTGCCTCTCATTGAGCCTCGCCATTGCAATTGTTGAAGACTTTAGTGACTGTCTCGAGCCATTCAGTCCCATTTTGCCCAAAGAACCCTTCCAGCTTCTGGAGTTTGTGTCAGATGTCAGGAGCAGATGGGGCCACAAGGGGTGTATTGATCATGCACTGGTTCTTGGCAGCCTCAGGATCAATGGGTGTGTAGATTCAGAATGCCTCACATAGTCTCTCATAGAAATCACCAGGGGATTCATCAGGTTTCTGGAGTACTGATGCAGGCTTTGGCATATTGGTGGGTTTCTTGGAATCCACCCTGATCCCTTGGAGGAATGCTGCCTGATAGTGAGGGACTGTTGTCCATTGGGGGTTTGGAAGTCCCAATCTGGTTTGGGAATGCTCTATATGCCCAAGCCTCTGGATCTGCATGGTCTTGGGGAGCTAGAATCTGGATGGATTTCCTGGCCTCTGTAATGATTCTCCATCTCTCTTCAATGCTGAACAGAGTATATAGGTGTTTCAGACAGTCCTTCCAGGTAGGCTGATGGGTCTGGATAACAAAGCCTATGAGATCAATGAAGGCTTGTGGGTTTTTGAGTAGGAAGGTGTGTGGTTTTACCAGTTAAGGAGGTCAGCTGTAGTGAAGGGCTAGTAGTAGTAGGTGGCTGGTCTAGGCTGGATATATAGTCTGTCAAGGTGGTAGGTGGAGGTCAGACCTTGCAGATGGGGAGTTGGATGGCTGCAGGTCGGGTAGACCAGAGACATCTGGCCAGGGGCACCTTGGAGGTGGCTGGCAGTGGGGTTGCAGAAAGGTAGAAGCAGGTAGATTACTGCAGCCAAGGGAGAGCCAGTTGGGGGCAAGGAGATCTGGAGCAGGCTGAGTGGAGGTGTCAGTGGCTCTGAGGATAAAGGAAGTGAGGATCCTGACACAGGAGAACTTAGCAAGGGTGCCTGGGCTGGTGGTGGCTGAATTGATGATGGTAGAGTGTCAGAGAGCATAGCAGTAGGGGTCTGGGGAGCTTATGGCCGAGGCAGAGGGTCTTCCTCAGGTGAGGCTTGGCAAATAGGCTTCTTTAAGGTCTAGAGGCTTTGGTCAGTTTTCTGGGCCACAAAGGCTTGACTTTGTCCCTGCCTATCAACACAGAATTGAACCCAGGGTAGAAGGATCTGGGTTATCTCTAACCAAGAATCAATATAGGGGAATTGATCAAGGTGTCCAGGTTTGCTGGCCACCACATACCAGATAGTTCACACTGTGGGGACATCTGGGGTTCCCTCTGGTGGCCAGCCAGTGTTAAAGCTAGGCTAGTCAACCTCACAGAAGCACCTGAGTTTTGCAAGCTTCATTTTGATACTGTAATCTCCATAATAGTTTTTCTTGAAGTTTCTCAACATACAATCAAGGACAGTGGGCTTACTCTGTATATTTCTCATAATTTGCATTGTATATGTGGTGCCCTTGAATGATGCTGCAACAGGCAAAGGGTATGGGCCGCCTGAAGGAGACCGCTCAGATGCTCCCTTGCAGGCACCCCTTTCAGGAACTTAGGAGTGTCTTAGCTAAGGTGCCATGGGCTGAGCCCAGATTCTTACCATTATGCCTTATGATGTCTCCACAGAACCACAGGTGAGACCCCAATCAGACTCTGCAGTCCAGGATTATCTCGCCTTGGAGTCCTACAGACTGGCTACTGAGGACAATCGTCAGTTCTATTCATTCACGCATTCCAACAGCCATTCAGAGGTTACAGCGTTCCTCCCCACTTTGCGAAGTTCCCTCTCTGGAGTCTGATCCTGAGACTGAGAGGTGATTAGGCTCTCCTCCTGTCCAATGGGACAGGCCTAGCTGGGTTACATATGGGCTCCTGGGCCTTACCTTGTCCTGAAGTCCCAGTGAAATTTTGTTGGCCTCCTTGCCCCACAAGTCCAGTCGGGATGTGCAGTAGGGTGGTTGGTTACCCCTACCTGGAGAAGAAGGAACTACCAATCCAAACTGGAGTGGTAGCTCTCTTGGAAGGCACCTGGCAGTCTCCCTGATTCTCATCTGAGCTGGAGGCTAAAAAAGCCAGCATGGCTGGTTCCCAGCTGATGCACCAGTTGTTGTGGAAAACAGGATACCAGACTTTTTCAGATGGCTAAGGAATGAAGTGTGCACTCCGGAGAGGCAGAGAAAGATTGTTATTTGCCTACCCTGGCTCAGAAAACCTCATGCTTCATAAATTCTGAGCCACAAAGATAGTGTCATAGAGTTTTTTTTTTTTTTATTGAGTTTGTGGTGGGAAAAATGAGCTCAAACAAAGACAGTTATTAACAACAGGTCTGTATCAGCCATCTGACCTGCCTCACTCAGGGAATCTAACCTAAGATGAGGGAGGTGGGGACAGGTGCTACAAGTCAGGGAGTGGAGCCACAGTCAGAGAGGGAAGGAGAAGGAGCAGCCTCTGCAGATTAGAGAACTGTGAAGCCCCCATTAGTACATCAAAGTGTAGCTGGGGCAGGAGGAGGGAGTAGGGAATGTGCTGGCAGAGGACAGAAACCATAGAGACACAGGGTCGCACTTTAATATACACCAATAGGAGCAGCAAGGTCACCATATACACGTGTGAGAGGGCAGGCATTGGGGTGCTGGGTGTATGCAGGGGCATACAAAGCAGCGAGACTGGTGGAGAGAGTGGGATGCGGTGGCCCGGGAGCTGCTGATAACTGCTGGAAAAAAGGCATGGCTAGCTGGTGCCCCATCAGCCTGAGTCAGGTTGTGCAGCTGGGCCACAGCCCTCACCCTCCACTGATGTTTTCACAAAGCAGGCATCTAGGCTCCTCATGTGTCCTCCAGCAGTTTAAACTCACAACCTTGGCATTGCTAGCACACGTACCATCCTCTCAAAATTCTGGAGGTTGCAGGACAGGAGTTCTTCGAGCTTCATCCAACTCTGGGTCTGTGCCAGCGGCGCAGTGGGCAGGTTTTTCTGCCTTGAGGGTGGAAGCCCCCACGGTGTTTGATTTTATTTTCTCTGTCTGAGGCAGAAGCCTTCAGCAGCAAGCTCTGTAATGGACTCAAGACTGATCAAACTAAGTTCCAAGTTAAAAAGATCTCAGGGGAAACTTCTTCTTCTGTCATGTGTGCATTTAAGATTTTCTCCAACTAGTTCCCAATTGTTTTTATGTGAAGCACCTGCCTGAGGAAACAATATATTATACTTGGTTACCTTTTGTAGCATTTTTGATACATTTTTGTTGGCACAGGACCCCTGAGTGTTTTAATAAGCTTTGGAGTAGCTGAATATATTTTTACTTCTCACATGGCCTGTTCCACCCCATGTTTTATTCTCAGGTAAAAACAACTAGTCACAGAAGTGAGTGTATCAGGATCTTGGCCTAGACCCAGTCTCCTAAATAAGTGGACAGCGAAGGGCTTAAATAAAAGGGACAAGTACTGTGATTTTAGGGCTTCAGGAGGGTCAAAACCCTGTAATGGAATTCGTGATTTCCTGGGCGTTGAAAGAAAGAACTTTTCCAGGTGGTCCAGTCCATATTTTTTTGGTTTTCAAACAAAGGAAGGGGATCCTGAGGCAAGCATGGGAACTGAGAAGATCTTGGGAGTCAGTTCAAAGACTTCTCCATGTAGTAAATTTTGCCTATTAAGAATACTGTCTTATCTCTAAGCTTGGCAGGTTTATTGCTCTGGAATAGGGGGTTCAGCAGCCCATGTTCTTGGCTGCCTTAGCTGTGGTTATCTTGACTTCAGAGCACCATTCATATGCTCTTTGCTGACACAGTCAGAAGTCCTTGTGTTCAGCAACTTAATCCTATACAGTTCAGTCTCCAACATGAGCGCTTACCTTTTCCTGTCCCTCTCAGATGTCTCTGTAACTCATTCTTCAAAGTCCTTCTCTGTCTCTCAGTCTCTCAGCTTCATGCCACTCTGGGTAGTCCTTACTTGTCTAGGTTTTAGTGCCCTGTTCAGAGTGCTAGTTTTCAGGAGCTGGCCAGTTTCCCAGTCTTTTGGACAAGTGTACAGCAAAGGGTAAAAGACAATAGACAAAGTAGTCTGTTATAAGGGGGAGGGGTCCCGGAAATTCAGAGCTCTTGTGGCTAAGACAAAGACTTGACTGAATTGTCCACTATTTTTCTGGGTACACAACATTAGGGGGTATGCAGTAAAGTGCACAGAATAGCTTTAGTAAAAGGGCGGAGAGTGAGCAAGGCCTTGTGAAGATGGAACAAAGACACTCCAAGCAATGAATCTTTGCTTGATGAGAGAGCTGTTTGATGTTTACAGTTGGCAGTTTTTGCCTTTGAAAATCTGAGGGACAGTTGGCACTTTCAGCTGCATTGTTACCTTGACTTCAGAGATGTCACAATGTCACAGGCCACTACAGGCCTCTACCATGACTGCTGGCATGGAGAGTTCTGTTTCTGCATGCCAGCCACTGGCTCATCTGGCAAGTCACTTAGGCCTGGGACAGACTCATGAGTTAATATAGAAAGCCAAGTGACTAATTCTAAAAACTGCTCAGACCATGGTGTGACTCACCCATGAGCACCCACACGCTATTTTCCTTTGACTGTGCACTGTCTTAACTGGTAATAAATCTGTCCATGCCTCTCATTGATGCATCCTAAAATTATTTTTCATGAGGAATGTCAAGAGCCTGTTTAGACCAAGTTGAGGTCCCCATCTCTTCTTTTGAAGGACCTCCTTGGACTCTACCTGGTGATGATACCAAAGAATTATTATTGGTTCATGTGTGTGTATAATGATACAATTATGCTTATGTGAGTTAATCCTTAATTTTTGGAGATGGACACATATTGAAGTATTATGTCTGAGTCTGAGTACTAGGTTTGGGGTCATTATATCAATGTCTCTATTTTTGTGTGTGTTGAAGTACTTTCATAACAAAATATCCTTCCATTCTGATATTATTCTGATTCAATATCACTTTTGAGAATAGCTGTACAGCACACCACAGCATCCTTCAATTTCTCACCTGGGGTCCTTTTCTCCCATCTGTGGAAATAAAAGTCTAATGCCATGTTTTTAGAATTTCATCATGCCCCTCTCTGTCCACATTTGATTGGACCAGAGCTATTCTCTGACCCAAGATAGGTTAATGAGAAACTTTTTACTCAGGATATTGGAAGACAGAAGAAAAATGAGAGAGAGAAAGAAGAGGAGGGAGACAAAGGGAAGCAAGGGAAATGAGAATGGAAATGAGTTCGCTAGGAATGGTTATATAACAGGTGTACTGGTAGCCATGGCCCAATATGCGGCCAGGAGAAAAGCAGTGGTCCATAAAATGAAAAATGAAATAAACACATAGAGATAAGCCAAGTTGAGGAAGCCCTACTTTTGTTTCTCATGAAACCCATTTCCTGGATCCAGTGATTTCTAGCTATACTTTTGTCCTTGGCTTTCTTGTCATATTAATACGTTTTCTGTTTGTTATACTCTGTTTGACATTTATTTTTGCTATTATCTACTAAACATGTAAAACAAATATAGTTTTACAGAAAAAAATCTGTTACTAAGACGAAAGAAGTATGAAGCCAAGTATGAGTCACATATTTCCAAGAGCATGAGGTCATGTAGAAACCAGACAGGGTAGATACCAATACCAGAAGGTCCAAGATGGTCGCTGATCATGGCACTATAGTAAATGCTTGTGTTGTATCTGTTAACAGATGTTTCATGGGGAAAAAAGCGTACATTACTTTATTTATTTCCTACTGTCTTATTTTCAGAGATAGCACTTTGTCTCCTTGAAGAGCTAACCCATCACAACACCATCATTCACTGAACATACTCTAAGAGGGGCGTAGGGAGGGAATAGGGTGATACCTCTGGACTCTACAAGTCTCTAGTGGCAGACCTGACTACATGAGAGCCAGTGTGACACAGTGGCTTAGCATCAGGCCTTGCAGTCAGATTACCTGGGGTTGAATTCTGATTCTACCACTTAGTAAATAAAGCAAATTGCTTAACTTTTAGTTCCTCTGTTTTCTAGGAAATAGAAACGATGATGATTATTATAATGGTCACACAACATTGTTAAGAAGATTAAATGAGGTTTTATATATATATAATGCAGCTGGCTCACAGTTTGGGCCAAGTTTACCATTATTGTTTGTATATGAGAGATTCCATGCAGAATGGTCTCTTCCCATATGTGATATGTATGTCTGACTGGAATAGCTGGACCTTGGGCAATCATACTGTGATGACAACAATGTTGGCCTGAGGGTAGATAACCTGCTAAAACATAGTACAGAAAGACATAAAGGGAACAGAGATTAAAAGACATGATGGATATAGTGGTCAGGATACAGATGCTTTGGAGGAGTTTCAGCTGGCAGGAAAGTAAAACTGAGACAAAGGTAATATTAAAAGGAATAATGATGAAGAATGTTCATGATTGAGAAAGGCATCAACCCATAGAACAAGAATGCAATGAATTCCAAGAAAAACAAGAAAATCCACATTAAAGTACACTTCAGTAGAACTGTAAAATTTCAAAGACAATGAGAAAATGTAAAAGATAAAGAAAAAGAGAAAGTTTTCTTTACTAGGAACAATAGATTTCTGACATTTTATCTATAACAGTGGAAGTTATAAGACAGTGTTATAGTATTTGATAGTTTGAATTTTAGGTTTTTGAGAAACCTATGCACTGATTTCCTTAGTGGCTATACTAATTTACCTTCCAATACCATAAAAATAATTCTTGGTCCCATCTCTGCATCTTTGCATTCATTATATTTAAAATTTCTTTTATAATTTTAACAAATTTTATTGGTACATTTTAGATATACATAATGATAACATTCATTATTGAGAATTTCTACCTGTGCATCATGTACCTTGCTTCTTCTTTTTTCCCATTCTCCTCCCCTCCCTTCAACACTTCTTCCCTCCTATTTACAAAAGCTTTATTTCCATTTTCCTTCTATTCTTTTTTCTCATCCCTTCTTTCCTTCCCCTCTCCCTCCCTTTTTTCCCTTCTAATTTGAACAATTTCTTCCCATTTCCCAATATCTATTATACTTTTTGGCCCTTATTTACACTTTCAGCTTCTCACTCTAGAGAAACAATGCAGTATTTAAATATGCGTGTCCAATTTATTTCAGTTAAGAGTATGGTCTCAATGTATGGTATTATGGTTTGGATTATGGTATTCATTACCTAGAACTGTCTCAGGCTTACCATCTATTGTATTAAAAAATCCACATATTACTTATCCATTCATCAATTGATGGGGATTTGGGCTGCTTCCAAGATTTAGGTATTATAAACTGTGACAGTATGAATATGGGTGTACATACATTGTTGTGGTATGATGCTTTTAATTCTATTGGGAAGAGACCAAGAAGAAGGATAATTGGGTCAAATGGAACCTCTCATCCTAACTTTTTGGGGAATCTCCACACTTATTTCCACGATGATTGCTCCAGTCTAAACTCCCACCAAAAGTGGAGAAGGGTTCCTTTCCTCACACATCTCCACCAGCATTTGTTATTGGCTGATTTCTTGATAATAACCATTCTTTTGGGAGTGAGAGGGAATCTCAGTATTGTTCTAATTTGCATTTCTCAAATGACCAGTACAGGATAGATAACATGGTTGTTCTTCTATCTGCTGTTTCTATGCTGAAAGAAACTGTCAATGAGTCTTTGGTTGACCAGTATTGCATGTCTATATCTGTTTTCATGAGAAGCCACTTTGAAGATATCAATATGTAATACAACCACCATTGTTAATTCCCTACCACTTTGTTTGGAACTCTGTATTGTCTGTATTGTGCTTGTGATATGTTGTAAAATGTTGTATGTCTGTTAATGTTTCCCTCCTTTTATCCTTAAAATAAAAAAAAAAAAAACTAGAGTCACATTAAAAAAAAAAAATTTATTTGTCATTTGTTCTTCTTCGTCTCAGAAGTGTCTGTTCATTTCAGATAATCATTTTTGTTCTTTAAATGTGAGGGGTATCATTTTTTTTAGTTTTTTGTATATTCCAGTAGTAGTACTTTGTCTAAGGAACAGATAGCAAAAGTTTTTCCCCACACTTTGGCTTGTCTCTTCACTCTGTTGGTAGTTTCTTTTGCTGTGCAAAAGCTTTATAATAAGATAAGATACCAGTTGTTAACTCTTTATGAAATTTCCTGTGTGATCCATGTTTTGTTAATAAAGTCTGGCTGTACTATTGTCTTCAAGAGTTCTACCTATTCTGTCTTCCAGAAGATTTAGTCATTCTCTTTTTAATAGTTAGATCTTTGATCCATTTTGATTTTAGTTTAGTGCATGGTGAAAGATGTGGCCTAGTTTTAATATTTGACATGAAAAGCCAGTTTTCCCAGGACCATTTATTAAAGAGTCTATCTTTCTTCCAGTGATGGTGTTTGGCCCCTTTGTCAAAGATAAGGTTACTGGGTATGTTTGAAATTGTTTCTGCATCTTCTAGTCTGTTCCTTTGATCCTTGGATCTGCTTTTTTTTTTCCCTTACCATGCTGTTTCATTCACAGTAGCTTTGTAATACAGTTTCAGATCAGGGTTTGTGATACCCTCTACCTTGTCTTTGTTGTCTAGAATTGCTTTTGCTATTCTAGGTCTCTTCTGGTTCCAAATGAATTTTAGGATTGTTTTCTCTAATTCTGTGAGATATGCTGTAGGTACTTTGATTGAGATTGCATTAAATCTACATAACAATTTTAGAAAAATGGACATTTTCACATTTTCAATATATTGGTTCTTCCTAGCCAAGAACAAGGGATATCTTTCCATTTTCTTATATTCACTTCTACCTTTTCAGAGTAGTGTAGTTTTCAACATAAAGGTGTTTTACTTCCTTTATTAGATTGATTCCTAGGTATTTCTTTCTTTTCTTTTCTTTTTTTTTTTTTGGATGCTATTGTGAAAAGTGTTGTTTCCCTAATTTCTATCTCAGTGAGTTTTTTATTTGTGTATAGGTTTGCTATTGATTTTTGAGTACTATTTGACTTTG